ATTGAAACAAATTGCTCTCAAGCCAATGATTAAGAAACAAAAACAAAGATATAAAAACATAAAGGGAAATCTAGAAGGAAGCAGAGTTCCCTCTGAGCATCTCCACAATGCTTTAATCATAATAAATTGAATCAAATTCATTTTGGTTTATTTTTTACCCTAAAGGCATAACTGCAGATCTTCTCTACCAAATTTTTGTCACCTGAATAAATGATAAATTGTCTCTCATATTTTCACCCAAGACACTCCCAAAAATATCAAACAGGACACAGCAATGTTGATCCATTTCTTGACCCTTTTTGGGTAAGGGTGAATTGACCAGCTATGAATCCACTTAATTGTAGATTACATTTATTTACCTGATATAAGGAAACACCAGGTCCAGATGTTTTTACTACTAAGTCCGACCAAAACATTAAAGAAAGAGTTAATTCCTATTTTATTCAAACTGTTCTAGAAAATTGGGAGGGGGGTGGAAGATGGAGGCACACTTCACCTTATTTCATAAGGCTAGCACAATCTATCTAAAAACCCAAACCTTTTGAGGACAGCACATGAAAAGAAAATTATAGGAAAATCTCATTAATGAACAAAAGATGTCAAATTTCTAGAAAATTCTCAAACTGAATCTAGCTTTGAGTTTTATGTTTTATAAAGTGACTTGAGTTTTATTTATTCCATGAATGGAGGATGATTTAACAACAGAAAATCGATCACTATACCTCACCACATTAATAGATTAAAGGAGTGGGGAATCAAGAATGAGCATACAGGGACACGGGGAACTTAAAATGTTCTTCTTGGGTATTGGGTATGTATGTATTGGTTACTATTTGCTGTGTAATGTGCAACTGCAAAATTTCAGTTATGTAAATAAGCATTTGTTTTCATACATTTTAGGGTAAGCTGGGGGTTAGCTATTTTAGGCTGGGCTCAGTTGGGCAGCTCAGCTTTAAACTGCAAGTCTCTGGGTCAGCCAAGTGACCACAGCCTAAATGTCTTTCATTATTCTTGGATTAGTTGGCTAGCTGTTGCAAGTTTATCTCATGGAAATGTGGAATATTATGATAATTTACTCAACAGGACAAACACACTTCAAGTTCCTGTTGCATAGTTTCTGCCATCATCCCATTTGGCCAAAGCAATTTGCATGGCTGAGTTTACAGTCAAGGAATGGGGAAGTATACTCTGCCTTTTATGGCGTGGATACAGAGAGGAACATAGAATTGGGCCAATGACTCAATTATATAACAGGGCCTGTATCAGTGCATTCTTGCATTGCTATGAAGAAACACCTGAGACTGGGTAATTTATAAAGAGGTTTAATTGGTTCACAGTTCCACAGGTTGTATAGGAAGCATAGCTGGGGAGGCCTCAGGAAACTTACAATCATGGCAGATGGTGAAGGGAAAGCAGGTAGGTCTTACATGGCTGGAGCAGGAGGAAGAGAGAAGGGGCGAGGAAGTGCCACACATTTTTTTTTTTTTCTGAGACAGGGTCTCACTCTGTTGCCCGGGCTGGAGTGCAGCAGCACAATCTCGCCTCACTGCAACCTCCGCCTCCTGGGTTCACGCGATTCTCATGCCTCAGCCTCCTGAGTAGCTAGGATTACAAGCGTATGCCACCATGCCCAGCTAATTTTTGTATTTTTAGTGGAGACAAAGTTTCACCATGTTGGCCAGGCTGCTCTCGAACTCTTTGTCTCAATTGATCCACCTGCCTTGGCCTCCCAAAGTGCTGGGATTACAGGTGTGAACCACTGCACCCAGCCATGTCACACACTTTTAAACAACCAGATCTAGTGAGAACTCTATCACAAGACAGCACTAGGGGGTGGTCCTAAACCATTAGAAACAACACCCATGATCCGATCCCACCAGGCCCCACCTCCACACTGGGGATTACAATTTGACATGAAATTTGGGCGGGGACAAGGGCCACAAGGCATGTGGGTATTTTATTTATAATGTATATGTATGACACATATACATTATATGTATGTAAAATGCGGTATTCACAAAACATTTCATAATAAAAATTAATGAAATTCACACATTAAGCACATTTTGGGGACCCTTTTTATTTACTAGTCTCATAATCCTATCAAAGAGGAAATGAAGTTGGCTTGGCAGGAGTTGTTCTTCATGATTGTCTCTTTCATCTTTTCTTTTTTCTATTCTTTAAACCTCTTCCAAAAAGGATTTAAAGAGACTTACAAAGCACCAAGAAAAAGTAAATTCATGATAAATAAAACAAAGCAAAAAGAAAATAAGGTTTCCAAAGCAGGACAGAGCAGGAACCACGTTAGCACTGGCCTGGATGTTCTTTGTTTCCCTCTTCTGATCCTCTTTCCACCCTTCTCTACTTGTTCTATGTTCCCTGAAGGGCTCCTGTCTCTCCTGGCTTCTCCTATAGCTTCAGGGCTCACTGGGTTCTGATAACTGCTCTGTCCTCCTGCTGCTTCAGGCCTAGAGACAGGTAGCACTTCACGTGAACCATCCCTTGCTGGCTTCCTTCATGCTGCCACACCTTTGTAACGTACTCCTTCACTAAGCCCTTCTTACTTCACCCTTTGGAAGTTGCCATGTTTCCTGTCAGGGACCCTGACTGCAACTGCCCACAAATCATATGCCTTAATTCTATATGCCTGCAAGATGTGGGTCTAAGGTCTTAGAGTCATTATCAAGTGGGAGACAAAATCAGTGAAAGAATCCCATCTCTCAAGAGAAGCAGACATACTGCTGACACCAAAATGGGCAAGAAATTTTCTCTGTGGGTTCTCAAAGAGAGGACCATTGTGGTGTAATCCCATTCTTTTCTCTTACAAACCATCTCTAATCCACTCAGGTCTCAGTCCTCAAATCTCTTGGTATCCACACTCACTGAGCTTATCCAGTCTCACAGCTTTAAATATACACATGCTGATGAATCCCAGTGGGTGCCTCCAGTCCTGACTTCCCCCTCAATTCATTTTCACTATCTAACTGCCTATTTTTTGGATATCCAACAGGCATCTCGAGTTCTTTCTATGTCCAAAACAAAACTTTCAATGTTTATTCTGTAATCCTCTCTTCCCAGTATGCCCTCATTTCAGTAGAGGGCTCCAGCATCATTTGCCTGGTTGCTCAGGGCATGTGTGTGTGTATGCGGGGGCGGGAAGAGTGGGGTAGCAATGGAAGAAAACTGTCATCCTTTTTTTTTTTTTTTTATAGTGACATGGTCTTGCTATGTTGCCCAGGCTGTTCTTGAACTCCCAGGTTCAAGCAATCCCCCTGTCTCAGCCTCCCAAAGTGCTGGGATTATAGGCGTGTGCCACCATGGCTGGCCCTGTCATCCTTGATACCTTTTTTTCTCACATTCCGCATCCAATCTGTCTCACGCCATGTTGGCTCAGATCTTCAAAATACATTCAGAATCTGACCAGTTCTCGTGACCTCCATCACTACCACTCTAGCTCAAACTACTACAATCTCTCATTCTACTATATTTATTCCTAGCTGGTTTCCCTTCTTCTATTCTTGCATCCTGGAAGGATCAAAGGATTATACCTCCATCAGCCAGTGTAATCCTTTAAAAATATGTCATATCATATCATCTCCTGCTCAAAATCCACTAACTGCTTCCCACCACACTTAGTCTTCACCATGGCCTACAGGGCCTTACATGCATGATCTTGTCCCTAGCATCTTTATTTTCTGTCATTCTCTCCCTCCCTCCTCCCCTCTCTCCCTCGTGCCCTCCCTCCCTCCCTCCTTCCCTTCCTGCCTCCCTCTCCCTCCTTCCAATCCAGTCATAACAGCCTCCCTGATGTTCTGTGAACAGGTCAAGCACGCTATTTGAGGCCTCTGGACATTTGCACTTGTTTCCTTTGACTGAAACACTCCTGTTCAGATATCTACATGCCTCACTCACTCATTTAAGTCTATGCTCAAATGACAAACCTTCAGGGAGGTCTTCTCTAATACCTCCACCATTGCCTACTTTGCTTCACTTTTCTTCACAGCACTTATCAGTACCTGGTATGACATGAAAGATGTAGTTACACATTTGTTTATTGTCTGTCTTTCCATTTGGAGTGTAAGCTCTAAGAAAACAGGTTTTCTGGTTTGTTTTTTCCTTTCATCCCAGCATCCCCAGTGCCTGTGACTTGAAACAGAGCAGGCCCTAGGTAAACGTTTGTTAAAGGAATGGATGACTCCGTTCTAATTTGTCTAATTTCTCGATTCAACCTCAGCCAGATCCAACAAATATTTGAGTCTTAATTATGTGAGTGACACTTAGTTAGATACTTACAGCTTTAAGAACGTATAAAACAGCCCCTAACCTGAACTGTGTCCTTTTGGGAGGGTACTGATTGGGACAGGGCACAAGGAAACTCCCAGAGTACAGAAATGTTCTTTATCTCCATCTGGGTAGTAGTTACACAGGTGCATACATAAGAGCAAATCAACTGAGCCATACTCTCAAGATATGTGTATTTTATGTTGCATCCCAATGAAAGTTTTTGTTGTTGGTTTTTTAAGGTTCTGACGTATCTAGACACAAAACGAGACAATTTCCCAACGTGGCAAGAGCAATGATGGAGCTGCACAGCCTGCTTTGTGAGCAGTGAGAAAGTCACCCCCAGGTACTAAGATTGGCATACCCTTGATAAGAGAAAAAGGGTAGGATGTAGCGCTGGAACGTCCTAGGGATCACGGGCGTCTCCCATGCCCTGGAACCATCTTCTCACTGTGGCGTCCTTTATTGGTGCCCAACAACAGAGATCCCGAATACAGGACGCCGGATCAGTGGGTGCTCAAGCCCTTAAGTGAGGTGGAGCAAGGCAGAGCGGCCCTTGGGAGAGGGGCAATGGGGCACCCCTGTGCTTTAGACTTGGCTTGAGGAGGTGACACTTTGTCCACATGCCTGTGAAGAGAGGGCGGCTGAGGACACACGCCACCCGCTAGACTTCACAAACGAAGTGGACGCGGGTCACACCCCTGCGCACGCGCAGCAGGGGCTCCTGTCACGCAGGCGCACGGCGGCCCGGCGCGGGACGAGAGGAGGCAACGGCTGTGTGGCCTGCGGGCGCGCGCTCCCTTACCGGCCAACGGACGCGAGGCGCGCGCCATGGAACAACGGTTAGCTGAGTTTCGGGCCGCGCGGAAACGGGCGGGTCTGACAGCCCAACCCAGCGCTGCCAGTCAGGGCGCACAAACCCCAGGAGAGAAGGCGGAAGCAGCAGCGACTCTAAAGGCAGCCTCGGGGTGGCTAAAGCGGTTCCTGGTATGGAAACCTAGGCCCGCGAGTGCCCGAGCCCAGCCCGGCCTGATTCAGGTGAGAAGACGGAAACCTCGGCCCTAAGACGTGGCCTCGGAGCCACAGTCGAGGGGGCGGCCCTAGCTGCCGGGGGTGTGGCCCTAGCTGCCGGAGGCGGGGCTGCTGGCGCTTCCCTCCTGCTCGAGGGCTGGACCGCTCATCTCCCGCCCCACGTGTCAGCACTGTTACCGGTTTTGATATTTTCTTTCCAGCCCGCGACCCATGCAGCTCCTGATTCGAGGCAGGAGGCGGGAGTCGAGGGTTCTGGAAGAAAGCACCTCTGCCCTGAGTTTATTCACCCCGAATTGAGTTATTTATCGTGACGCCCTGTGGCTTCGGGAAACCTCTCCACAACCAAGTTGAGCCACAGCCCTCTGCTAATGGAGGGTAAAAGGTCTAATTGGATACTGATCAAAAGTAGCAGTAATTAAAACTTCATTTGATTTGCACCTGGGGCACATGCAGCTAGTAGCCCACATAGCCTGTGACTTAGAAATGCGTTTGAATACAGAATTTACCAAAGTGTGGTAACTGAAACTGCAGTAGTGGCAGAAGCTTATTCAAGTTCCACAGTCAATGTTCAAGACAAAAACAAAGTGATTTAGTATGAAAACCTTTTCACATTTAATTCTTTTGATAATCTCTTATTTTGCAGATGAATTTAATTTGCATCCTTTTGTGTTTTCATTTAGTTTTAACTCATCAGTAAAATGCTAAGGTGGCTTGCGGTGAGATTGAAATGTCTATGTGGAAATACAGGACAAAACGTATCAAGGGATAAGTGCTTTGTAATAATTTGTGCCAAGGGCTTTGTTCCTCTTAAGTGTAATAAGAACTAAAAAATTCCCTTTAAAATGAAAATGTAGTGGAAGAAAAGTGTACCTTGCTCGCCTTAAAATTGTTTCCGTTAAGTTCATCTATTATTGCACATTTGATTTGAGGGAATTTTTAAAAATTAGTGAACCTATTAATTTTGATTTGATATTCTCAGTGATATATAGGATTCCAGGTGACTTGCAGAAAGGTGAAAAGAGCGCAGCAGAGTTCAAACAATCCTTGTGTGCAGTTTGTGTTAATTGTCTTTGGATAATTTTGTTGTTGACTAGAACTTTCTAAGTACAACACTTGCTTAAGATTTTAGAAACCATTTCCCTTATTCTTTTTCTCTCTGCAGTTAAAAACAATGTCTAACCCACGCAATGAGCTTTTGACTGTATGTCTCATTTCCAAAGGAATGAGATCATTGAGTTGGACCCAGAGAAACTGAACTCAGAGAAAAACTTCCATTATTGAGAACCCAAAGGCTGATGGCCAAAGGATGAGAGGAAATGCTGGACCTCCAGTTTCTTGTTAATTGCTCTGTTTTTCATAAGGAACTCTGCCTTAAGCTCGTTTTCATTGACTGTTACCATTTCTGGGTTTGCTCTGGTGTGAAAATTCTCATTTAATTTTTTTTCTTCAGATTCTGCCTCTAGTTTAGAAAAGAAAATTTCTAATTTACAATTCATGTCAGATAATTTTGATGGCACACTGTGGCCTGTCAGAGATTTCTTTAGCATTCTATTTTTTAAAAATTATTTTTAATTTTTGTGTTTTAATTGAAACAGCTTTATTGAAATAAGATTTACATACTACAGAATTTATCTCTTTTAACATACAATTCAAAGATTTTTAGTAAATTTACTGAGTCATGCAACCATCACTACAATCCAACTTTAGAACGCCTCCATCACTCCAAGGAGACCCCTCATGCACGTTAGCAGTTACTACCCGTTTCCAACCCCAGCCCTGCACAAACGTCAATCTACTTTCTATCTCTATACATTTGTCTTTTCCGGATGTTTCATGTAAATGGAATTACACAGTATGGTAAACACATTTTTCATCTATTAATTTTTATATTCAACTAGGTTCAACATGTAGCCATAGCCAAATATTTTAAATTTTCCTTCTGGGAGTTTAAGAATGTTTATCTTTTTTGATACTTACTTCTCCTTCAGCTTTCTCTTTTTCATACTGAAACAGTCTTTTAAATGATTACATTCATTGATTAACTCCTCATTTTTCCCTTCTAGCAGAAGACCTTCCTTTTCACTCTCAAGGCAGCATCCTTGGATATTAATTACCTTTTGTAAGGTACCCCTTTCTTATGAGCACCATCTAGTTGTTGAGGCAGCAGATTTTCACGTTGTAGTTGAGATATTCTCTCCTCTACGTAGTCCCACTTTCCAAAGGATTTACTTGGCTTAGGTCTTTTTGTACACTTTATAAAACCAAAACCTTTTCTCTGAATTTCTAGTGTCGTGGAGTTTACTTTTTAGGGTATTGAATTTAATTTGAGCTTCGGAAAGTTGCTCAGTTAAAAACTCATTATTATCTTTTAGTTCAGAAATATCAGAACTCATTTTCTTTCTTGTAAAGAAACGTCTTGTGCTCTCTCTAAAGTTCTAGGTCTCTTTTTGTTTTCACACTTTGATCACGCTCACTTATAGCAGCAGCCAGTCTAGCATGGAATGACTCAACTTCAGCTTCTAGTCTTTCCTTGTTTTGTTTCTCCTTCTCCAGTTGAGACTTGAGCATTTTGTTCTCAGTTTTGAGGTCGTTAAGCTGTTGACTATACTGGGATACTGTTTTTGTTAACATTTTTCCATTGAGTTTTATAGTCTCTTGAAGGTCATCATTCATTTCTTTAATAATTTCAATGTCCTTAAATATTTCTTTTCCTTTTTGAGGTTCTTATTTTTTATTGTGTATACTTACATACACAATAAAGGCAATATCTCTCTTCAACAAGCAATTTTCATGCATCAGGTCTTTCTTTTTTCTATGACTGCAAGAATCTTGACTTAAAGTATTTCTTCAAGCCTTCAATTCCATTTCTAGTGATCCGATGGTCAGTTCAAGCTGTTCTTTTACTTCAACTTCTTTCCTATGTTGCTCCACTTTCCTTTCTAACTCTTCCCTAATGTTTTCATACAACATATTAGCATTTCTTCTCATCTTCTTCTTTTAAGGTGCATTCAAACTGTAGAGTTCTTGTTTCCATTCCACTTTTTAATATTGAACTGTGACTTCATTTCTTGTGTTTTGGATAGCTCCTTCTTCAGTACACTAAACTCAGTTTTCACATTTTTATTGTCTAGTGTAAGTTGTTCACAGATAGTTTTTTTTTAAGGTCCAGTGACTTTTCACATGAAATAAATGCATTCTGGATTTCCATTAGGATATGAGAATCATTACAATCCATTCCATATTGCTTAATGAGCATCATAAACTTCTTATAATGAGGGTAAGATTCCTCATGATCCTCTGAAGCTGTTTCAGATAGCCGAGTTAAGTCATCAGGTTCATCTCTAAATGAGTTTGCTTTTTGACCTTTTTCTCTTCATTTGACATTTTCTTTGCAGGCCTAGCATACTCTTCATTCTTCTTCCTAGGAAATCGCTGATGGTAAGGTTTTCCACTCTTCCTTTGTTGAATTAATTTATCATCGTCATCAGCAGATGTACTATCCTACAGGTTTTTTTGATACTGTTTTTTTTTTGTTTTTTGTTTTTTGTTTTTACTTTTGTACTTCTTTCTAGCTTCTTCAACCTGTGGCTATTTATTTTCACTTTCAAGCTTTTCTTGTTCTTCCTCTGAGGTCACTTGTACTTCTTGTTCTGCTTTGGATGTTTGTTCATTCTTCCTTTCTATTGCTTTCTTCACAACAGAATCTTTCATTTCCATGGTAGGCTTTAGGGAAAGATGTTTTTCAGGAGGCCCTTCTCCCTTTCCATTTACTATGTATTTTTTCCTTTTTTATGTGAAGGTCCAAGTAAAGACCTTGAAACACTCTCAGGGATACTCTGCTTGGTAGTAAAAGTCAAGTCTTCATCATCTGGTTTAGGGCATGAATCAACACACAGTTTTTTGAAAATACTGAATGCAGATGCTTCAGAACTCCCAGAATCTTTTGCACTTGCTCCTCCTTTTTTCAAACTTGCATTCTTCTTGGATGCTTCTTCTGGGTTGTCATTTTGAAGACCATTTTCAAGTATCTTTTTTTTTAATGTTGCAAAATTTGTTGTGTTTGTCAGACCATCAGAAATAGCATGATCTTCTGCAGTCTGTTAATACATACTCTTGAGTATGCAGATATTTTGTTGAAGAAGAATGCTAACTATACCTGACAAGCCATAATGTACAACAGCCATGAGGGCTGTTCTTTTCAACCTGTCAACAGCATGTACATTTGCTTGTTTCTTCACTAAAATTCCACCTTTTGCTGTGTTTTGCAAACTATAAAGTGGTGTGTTTCCATGCTTGTTCAGCACTTCAGTATTCACATGGTGTGAAGGCAGTTTTTCTGCCAGTAGTGTGTTCTCATTATAGATAGCATAGTGTAGTGCGTTGTTGCTGTAGACATCCATAAGATCTGGATTGGTGCCACGTTCTAGCAGAGTGATGACACAAATCTCTTCCTGCCAATGTACAGCCTTCATTAAAGACATCCTGTTTCATTTGCCACCAATGTCAGTCTGGCATTTTCAGTTCACCTGGAGAGTGACTACTACTTCTGCATGGCCATTGGCATAAGCCAAATGTAAAACAGTCCTGTTCATTCACAGATGAAGGAATACAGAAACTCTAGGATATATGCACAGTGGAATACTCTTCAGCCATCAAACTTTAGGACATCACCCCACTTCCAGCAACGTGGAGAAAGACCTGTTCATCCACAGATGAAGGGATACAGAAACTGTAGTATTCATTCACAATGGAATACCCTTCAGCCATGCACATATACTGAAATCATATCACCTGGAGCCACACAATTGAACCTGTTATTCCCTTGATGAAGGGATGACAAAACTGAAATATATATCCAGAATGGAATACCCTTTCACCACAGAAATGGATGAAATCCATTTGCAGTCATGTGGAGAAACCTGTTCATCCACAGATGAAGGGATAAAGAAACTGTAGTATATATACACAAATGGAATACTCTTCATCCAGAAAAATATAATGAAATTACATCATTTGCAGCCACACTGTTGAACCTAGAGGTCATCATGGTAAATGACCTGTCCTGTCCACCCACAGCTGAAGGGATAAAGAAACCACCATACAGATACACTGTGGAATATGCTTCAGCCATAAACCTTTGGGAAATCCTGTCATCCACAGCCATGTGGAGAAACCTAGAGGACATTAGGTCCAAAGAAATGAGCCTGGTAAAGAAAGTCCCACACCTTTTAATCTCAGGCATGGAGATTCCAAAAATTTTATCTCCTGTCCATCCACAGATGAAGGGATCGAGAAACTGTAATGTATATGCACAAAGGAATACTCTTTGGCCATCAAAATAACTAAACCATGTCATTTGGGGCAACACAAGTGAACCACCAAGGCTGCAGCTGCCTCGTGCTATGCCATGGATGGAAGCCACTGTGGCCTCCATCTGGGCCGAGCTCTGACCACAGTGATGCCTCTGCCCCCACCCGGGCCTCCCTCTGACCGACAATGCTGCTACATCTTTTCAGTAGTCATTGATGAGGAAGTATCCACATCCTCCTTCCCACTACCAGATTTTGCTTGGAGAAAAGCAGTTTCCCGAAATAATTCTGTGACGAGCTTCTTCCACATTAGGACAAAAATGCTGGTAACTTTTAAAAATTCCTATAGAAGCCTCCTGCTTCCCTCTCCAGCCATATCCCAGGCAAGCCCCCTGCATACCACCCTGCCCCAGAACCCATTCCCCATACCCATCCACCACTCCTGACCTCCAGGCCTTGGCTCAGGCTGGCTTTCTGCTCAAAGGCTCTCCTTTGGAGTCGCCTGGCTAAGCACAGCTTTGCCTCACCCCCCCAAAATCTAGTAGTTATCTTGAATTTCTCCCTTTCCCTCACTATCATTCATTCATTCAACAAAAATCTTGTCATGTGCCCGCCGTGTTCCAGCCTTTGTCCTAAACCCTGGGAGACAGTGTGATTAAGACACAAGTGCTACTCTTGTACAACTTGCATTTGAGCTTGGGCAACAGGGAAAGGAGGACAATAAACAAAACCAAATAAATGCTATGAAAGAAAAAAGATAGAACCAGTAGATTGTGATAGTGAATTAGGGGTGAGGGTAGCAGAGTACTATTTTAAATCAGCTGAGCAGGGAGAACTCACTAAGGAGGAGACATTTAACAAGAAGAAACCACCCTGGCAAAAACGGGGACTAAGCCAAGGGCACATATGGTGACAGTTTTGCTGTTTGTAGTAGGAGGGGGCCAACCAGGTGATATGTGAGGGGAAGGTAGCATTCCTCTCAGAGGGAACCACAAGTGCAGAGGCCCTGAGGTAGGAAGCAGCCTGATATTTGAGGTATGGCAGTGCCTTCCTTGGACCATGCCTGTGTGTGATGCAACAGTCATAAACACTTCTTCACCCAGGTTTTACAGCAGAAGGGAAGTGGTACTCAGACAAATTCCAAATGAGGCAGAGGAATGTCCATATCTCTCCTCTTGTTTGTTCCCTTCGTCAGTTTGTTTACCCCCCGCCCCCCACACCCATCTCCCTCTAGCCCCCTAACCTTTCTCTTGCCAGCCCCTATAAAGGCTCTTAATTAAATAAAATGGGTTTTGGAGGAGACCATCCTAGGATCCCAGACTGACCTCATCTCTGCCTATCACTAGTTGTATGGCTTTAGGGAAATTACTTAATCTCTTAGTGTTTTCTTATCAGTAAATTGGGAATAATAATGCCTGCCTCCTGGATTACAAGAGTTCATACATTTGAAGGCTCTCAGTAAATGGTGGCATAGGAGCATTCTTCTTTTTATACTCCCTAAACGATAAATTTAGTTTATTGTGAATTTCAACATGTATATTCAAAATGTATTTTGTCTATCAATCCATTATTTCCATCTGACTGCTGTCACCCCCCTGGTCAATGTCTGGCTCTCTCTTGCTAGGCCTCCTCCCCAACCTTTTTAGCACCAGGGATTTCGTGGAAGACAATTTTTCTACCCAGGGGCGGGGAGAAATGGCTTCAGGATGAAGCTGTTCCACCTCAGATCATCAGGCATGAGTTAAATTCTCATAAGGAGCGGGAGCCCTAGATCCTGCGCATGCGCAGTTCACAATAGGGTTCATGGTCTTATGAGAATCTAATGCCACCGCTGATCTGACAGGAAGTGGAGCTCAGGCAGTAATGCATGCTCACTGGCCACTCACCACCTGCTGTATGGCCTGGTTCCTAACAGGCCACAAATCCATACGGGTCCTGGGATTGGGAACCCTTGCTCCAGATGACAGCTGGAGCAGTCTTAAATGAAAGGTGGATTATAAGTTCCCTGCTTAGACCTTCAGCTGTTTCCCATTTCCAGAATCTTCACTGCAGCCTGCCTGGCTGTACTTGATCTGGCTCCCACCCTCCTGCCCTCCCTCCTTAGCCCTGTTGTCTCATGCTACTGTCCCCCTTGCCCAGTACACTGCCCAGATGCATTCTTCTTGGGCCAGAAGTACTGTGCATGCATGTCAAATCTGAAACAGACGTTTCTTAGAGTATCAGGGGTCAGGGATGTGGCTGATAATATAAGGGCCTCTCCAATCAGACTTTCTAATCTAACCGAAGAGATACTAATTACAGTGTTGATGCTATAAAAAGAAGGTTCTGACAAAATAGAACTTCTGAAGCATCATAAATCAGATAACCAGTATTTGTGATCCCCTTTTAAATATTCATGTGAAGAATAGGGGATGTAACTGAAGAGATGAATTAAAAGTTCTGCTATGTATTGAGAACCTAAGTGTGGGATGCTGTGTTTGGATCTGGAGACACGTTGCCTCCTGGTACTTAAACAATCTGGCATCACACATCACATGACCTATATTAAAAGAGAGACACTGTAGTACTGAATAGTTTGATGCTCAATGAGCAGGAGAGCTAGCTGGTGCTTGGGGAGGCAGAGGGGGCACCCTCCCTGATGGCCAGGGAGGTCAGGGCTGACAGTTCATGAACTGTGCTTGCCTGGATGGAAGGCAAATAGTTGAGGAAGAAAGAGGAAGTGGATGGAATTCTAGGCCTGAGATGAGGACTGAGAATATCTTTGGGTAATAAGACCAGTTAAGCTGGAGTAGAAGGGTCATTTATGGAACAAAAGATTGTGGATCCTGTTGTAATGGAATTTCCTAGACCACTGTGACCCACTAGTGGATGGTGAAATTAATATAGAAGATCTTGTCCCCTATTAAAAATGTTTTTAAAATAGAATAGGAAATACAAGAGAATGTCTCCGGGAGGGTAAGTGTTGACTTGTGAAAGGTTGTTGCATATATGTATTCTGGGTTACAGTCTCAAATGTATTCCTTATTGTAGGGCATGCTCAAAGAGTTCTGAGAACAGTGGACTGGACACAGAGCTGTCTAAATACCTGTGTCTGCCATTAGCATCTGGCACAGGAGCCTGTGTACTGGCATTTCAATCTGTTGAACAAATTGAAGGCCTTGGGTTCCAGCCCAAGGAGTTTGGATTTTATCCTGTAGGCAGTGAAAGTTTTTGAAGATTTGTGGGCAGGAGGATGATGGGTCTTTAAGAAAATTCATTTAGCAGTTGTACATAGGATGGCTTGGGGAGGGAAGAGATAGGAGGCAGGGAGTCTAGTTAGGAGACATTGGCTGGGCCTTGGGTGAGTGACAACGACCTGTGTAGGTTAGTCACAGGGGATGGGAAGGTAAGAGGGCCCAGTAATGACTGTAACAGTGGTTTTTGTTGTTTTTGAGACAGTGTCTTGCTCTGTCACCCAAGCTAGCGTGTGGTGGTGCAATCTCAGCTCACTGCATCTTTCATCTCCCAGGTTTGAGCAATTCTCATGCCTCAGCCTCCTGAGTAGCTGGGATTATAGTCATGTGCCACCATGCTGGCTAATTTTTGTATTTTTAGTAGAGATGAGGTTTCACCATGTTGGCCAGGCTGGTCTCAAACTCCTGAGCTCAAGTAATCTGCCTGCCTCAGCCTTCCAAAGTGCTGGGATTACAAGTGTGCGCCTGGCTGATTTGTTGTTTTTTTTTTTTTAAACGTGAAAAGGATTTTTGTTTCCTGTCTCTATTTTAGAATCATGCCAGTCATAATATTTTAGGTCATCTAATCAGATCAACAAAGGTACGTTGACTCTGACTGTGTTTGAAGCATTTGTCATGACTGTTGCATTATCAGTTATTCAGGAGTTTCTGTATGGGGCACAAATTAGCTCTTCTTAGCAGCAGACTAATCTGAAGAAATGACTCCCATGAATAAGAATCTGTCTGAATGCTGTAGGGCTTTTATTAGGTCTCATCTCACTAAGTGCTGATCAGTTTTGATTCAGTTGGAGCAGAGCACATAGTTCTTTGGAGGTGATTGTTTTAGAGAGTAGGGTGAGAGAATAGAAATCAATGAGCCAGCAGCCTTCTCACAGCAATGAAAACTGCCTTTTCAGATTAGTTTTGATCATCTCAGCTCCATTACCCTTTATTCTTTCTTTTGTTTGTGTATCCTAGGAAGCGCCGCAGCCCCAGGGCAGCACATCACGGCCACCATGGAACATAGCCATTCCTCTACCATCATGCTGGGACCAGTCTTTCCTGACCAATATCACCTTCTTGAAGGTTCTTCTCTGGTTGGTCCTGCTGGGATTGTTTGTGGAACTGGAATTTGGCCTGGCATATTTTGTCCTGTCCTTGTTCTATTGGCTGTACGTCGGGACACGAGGCCCTGAAGAGAAGAAGGAGGGAGAGAAGAGCGCCTACTCTGTGTTCAATCCGGGCTGCGAAGCCATCCAGGGCACCCTGACTGCAGAGCAGTTGGAGCGCGAGTTACAGTTGAGACCCCTGGCAGGGAGATAGGACCCAGCTGTGCCATCATGCAGCTAACTTCTGATGTCTTCCTCACCACTGGCTATGGATTTGATTTCAGGTGTATAGGACTAAAGGCAGCTTGCAGGTTAGCTCTGTGACTGCATGGTTCTTCTACATTCTTTCCCTGATCTTTTGCTGCCATTTGATCTTTGAATTTCTCTTTAGTGTTGGTGAAACTCTCTAAAGTACATTCACTGTGGGTCCGATGCAATTTATAAAAATTATGTACTCAAGAAGGGAGACCTGTTTGTCTCATTTCTCATCTGTTTGGGGGATGATTTTAGAGCACTAGAAAGGCACTGGGAAGATTCTCAGCTTAAAACATCCAGCCATTTGAAGTAATGATTAGGTACATCAGGGCTGCATTGTAAATGTTCTCTTTAAGTCTTTTAACATTTATAGCAATTTTTTTTTTCCCAGAAAGTTTAGGTTGCATGTTTTGGGTTTCTTGTTTGTTTTTGTTTTGCTTCCTGCTTTAATTCTTTCATTTTCAGTCATTACTGGTATTGAAAAATAAAATATCTTTAAAACATCTCTTCAGAAATAGGTCCCTCTTCATTGCCCATCACCATCTTCCACTCTCTATTATTTTGTCACCACTCAGTAAAGGAAGGTAGGAAGAGACAAAGGACTAAGTGCAGGTGTGGGGAGGGATTTCACAAGTGGTTATTAATAGCCAGTTCAGCAAGAAGTATTGAGTGTGTACAAAGGGGAGGGCTGGAAATGTAACTCCAGACCTGTTGGCTGCTTGAGTTGTTTCTTATATTCTAAGGCATATAGAATATAAGAAGTCCCCAACCTTTTTGGCACCAGGGACCAGTTTTGTGGAAGACAGTTTTTCCATGGATGGGGTGGTGGTGGAGGTGGTTTCCGGATGAAACTTCCACCTCAGATCATCACGCATTAGAGTCTCATAAGGAGCACGCAGCCTAGATCCCTCGCATGTGCAGTTCACAATAGGGTTCTAAGGGCTTTAGAGTAAGCAGCCTTTTCATCTGTGGGCCTCTGGTGAGAAATTCTGTAAACAGTGATAATCAGGCTGGATTTTAATGTTCCTTCCTCTTCCAGTACGATGTTAGAGTTTGGGTTCGTTAAAATCAGGCAGACTCCCATTGGGTTGGGGCTTCTCTCATTAATTCCATTTTGTGGCTAACTTCATGGTGTTTCAGCCCTTGTTGAAAATTCTTCTGATATGTGTTGCTCTTCCTCACAGCCCTTTGCCCATTGGGAGTCTGGCTATTCCTCAGAGCCATCCAGTCAAGCAGATGGTCCGTTCTAGCTCACAGAAAAGTCTTTTCTTCCATGATTTCTGTCTGAACTGGACATGTAGAGAGTATGGGAAACAGATGAATCCCTATTAAACATGAAGTTTTGATTGTATTTAAGATACAATTTTGTTGACTGATTTATTTTCTTAAGGCTTTCTTAATTTTCTTGATACTTTCCTTGGACTTTTCCATTTCATAAAAGTCCCACACAAGGGAGTAATTCCCTAATCTAAGTTTTACTGCAGTGCTCAGGGCAGTAAGCATTGCTGTAGGAAAGAACTCATTTGTATTTTAAAAACGTATAATTCAAACTTTCCCCTAAAACAAAATGTCTGTAACTCTGAATTAGAGAGGTTTGATCCAATTAGTAATCCCAGTGGGGTAAAGACTTAAGCACACAGGAGACTTGACCTGTGGTTGGGTGGACCTCAGTAGTGATTTTTGAAATGCAGCTGTTTTTGAGATGGAATCTAGATTGCCTCAAGCCCATCTTGCATGGGCTTTTCTGTGAACAATTTTGTCAGTTCTCCTCACCTCTTCCCAAAGGTGCATGTAATGATGGCATTAGGAAAAATAGGGTATGAATCAATTAAAGGCCTGACAGGGAGAAGAAGAAAGAACAATAAGTATTTGGTGCTTTCATCAGACCATTAGGCTTTAGGTGCAGCCTTGATTTCCCGAATTTAGGCCTATTGATCTCAGAATTTCCACTCATAACCTAACCATTAACCCAGCATGCAGCCTCCATTAAAGGATTCTTCTGTCATCAGGGAACTTGAAATCCCAGAGGTAGATGCAATCCCTGTGATAACTTTATACACGAGTGAAGTCGTTTCTGTTCAAGTCTTAACAAGTAACTTGGTTTTTGCTTTTATTCACATTATCCCATCTTGCCTACTGATAGAGACTGTTAAGTGAAACTCTACATCTAAAGTTGGAAGGGACCCCAAAATGCCATCAAGTGTGTTCCCCACCCCCAACCTTGGGCAGGGCCATCATTTATTCCCAAGTAAAGATAATTTGTTTCTAGTGAACCCCTAAAGAAGATTCCAGGTACTTCCTAGGAGGTTCTTTATGTTTACTGAAAGAACTTTTGCCACTCCCATCCTCACCATCTGGGGTTATTTTGTCTCCTAATCTTAGTGGATGTGGAGTCCCTGGAGGCCTATGTGAGCATCCTTCAGACTGGTAAACCCTTACTCAGTTCTCTTTTCTCTCTGCTCTTTAGGCCAAGTCATTGAGCTGTACCTCGGGGACTCAGTCACTTTCATGCTAGCCCTGACCTAAGTTTTTCAGGTTTGAGTGAGGGTGAATGTCCCTGTGGATGGGTGTAATGACCTTTCTCAAAAGCTTTGGAGCTTTTCCAGTGATGACAGGCATGTGTATTTTGTGCTATTAGAGTTATGCTTTGAGTATAGGCAGTCTTCCACATTTGTCTTTTGACTAACCTGTGTGTCATTCAAAAAGCTCTGTGCTGCAAAATCTTAGAAAATTACACAATTGAAAGAACCAGTGACCCTCAGTTGGGCAGAAGACATCAAAATTCGAGCTATGTGTTTTTAGTTCCTGCTACTCATACCAGCAAATAGTTGTAGATGCCCTGGATTTGGCGCTGCTGGGAACACACACACAGGAGCTCCTGCATAGGATGAGCGTCCCTAAGAGCCCAGGGATGCAGGGGTGGGGTTGGGATGTCATGGAGCATATTGCCACCAGGTGGTGGCGTAGAGCTGCCACTATACCTCACGGGTCCCTTCACCTCACACTTGAAAATTTACGTAATGTAGAAAACCCTCTGGGATGTTTATCTCAACCACTTGTGCTGCTTTTTCAGATTTTTTTTTTCCAGTTTAAAATTTACAGAGGAAAGGGCTCATCAGAGGTCCTGGGAAAGGCGTAGAAAGCTACCAGAAGTGATTTATATATGTATTTTAAAATAAAACAGCAGCTCCTCTCTAGACTTAGCAGGCAGTGTTACAGTTGCTTGCACATAGCTGAGCTTTGCGGGAAGGGGAAGGGGAATGACTAAGAATTTACATAGTTGGCAGAGAAAACCAACTCCCGAAGCCAAAGAAAGTAACTTTTGAACCATATGCTTTGGTTTCTATCACACATACTTTTATTTCACAACTTTGGAGCACTAGGATACATAAAGACTTGCATCCCATTTTCAAAAAGCTGAGAGAGAAGATGAGTGCACACAAAACTGTATTATGAAGTATAGGACACAATGTGAATGCTTATAAAGGTGTAAGGTGTGTGTGTGTGTGTGCGTGCATGTGTTTTTTCAAGGGAGAGATCACTTGCAATCCTAAATACTATATAGGATTTTCACTTCTACGTGAAAAATACTCTTTCCTGAACAAGTCATGGATGAACGTTTTGAAAAGTATGGTCTATAGACCACCCACCTACATAGGAATCTCCTGTAGATTCCAGGGCGCCCACTGACTCAGAATGTCTGGGGGTAGAATCCTGAGAATCTGCATTTTAACAGCCTCCCTGATGTGATCTCTGGCATAATAAAGATTAAGAGCCGCTGACATAAACCATAAATGTTAAAATAGGAAGAAAATTTAGTGATTATTAGATCCAAGCAAAGAAAATGGTTGTGCATTTTTAAAGGGAGCAATGAGGTTTGCTATTTTTCAAACTGTTCATTTGGAACACCAAAGCGAGAGAAGAAGAAACATAGCTTTAAAACAATGAGGAACTAACTCCAAAGACTACGCAGAAATTAAACGTCCTTTATTTTTGAGGTTTTCTTTAAATGATTACAACAAGAAGTACATGCTCATTTTAGACCATTTTAGAAATACAGGAAGGAATAAAATATTGTTGTACTTCTATGAATATATTTTAGAAGTCAAGAGGTACGTAGGGTGTATAGGGAGAACATCTCCCTCCACCCTGCCATGTTTGTTCTTTCTCAAGCCTGCAAATGACACCATCCTAAACACGCTATTCTTTTGCTTGCTTGCTTTTTTCTTTTTTAGGAGTTTGAATTTTATTTATGTGCATTTGAAGTTTTTATGTAAGGGAGTGACATGATCCAATTTTCTTTTTTTCTCTCTCTCTTTTTTTTTTTTTTTTTTTTTGAGAGACAGAGTCTCATTCTGTCCCCAGGGTGGAGTGCAGTAACACGATCTGCCTCCCAGGTTCAAGCAATTCTCCTGCCTCAACTTCCCAAGTAGCTGGGACTACAGGCATGTGCCACCAAACCCAGCTAAATTTTCTACTTTTAGTAGAGAAGGGGTTTCACTGTATGCTGGCCTGCCTGGTCTCAAACTCCTGACTTCAGGTAATCTGTCCGCCCTGGTTTTTCAAAGTGCTGGGTTTACAGGTGTAAGCCACTGCAGCCGGCCCCCAATTTTCATTTCTAAAAGATCATCCATGCTACGGTGGGGAGTAGATTCTCTATGTCATTCATTCATCCATCCATCTATCCATTTACAGAGCATCTAAACTTTGCCAGTCCTGGTGCTGGACTTGGCTCATACAGATATAAGGGAGACAAGGTTCCTTTTCTCAAGGACCTCACAGTCAAATGGGGGAGGTAGCCAGTAACCAGACAGTTACAGTGCAGTGTGGTAAGCCACACTGAGAGTATGTCATCTGAACGAGGACCCCAGCCTCAAAAGAGGATCTTAAATCACGGGTCAGGAAGGGCTTCCTGGAGGCAGTGGCGCTGTGCTGAGTTTAAGGGAGGACTAGGTACTCCCCCAAAAGAGAAGGTGGGGGCAAAAAGCATTTTGGTCAGAGAAAACCACCTGGGAGAAAGGTGATAATCATGAAGGAGAATAACAAGCTTGGATGCATTCTGAGGACTTGGATGTTAAGGAACGAATAAAAGGAATTGATGAGAGGCAATTCCAGAAAGGAATATTGGGTGCCTCTTGCTTTTTGAGCAAACAATATTTCTTAGTAATTACATCAGCACAAATAGAGCTGCTTCCTCCTTTTTCACAGCTACAGAGTATACCATTGTATAGATAGATTGTAACTCAACAAGTTTCCATTAATGTATATTTAGGTCGTTTCTAATCTTTTGTTGTTGCAAACAATGTACAACGAATATCCTTGTACATATGTCATTTCAACATATGGGAATACTTCTCTGGGATAATTTGTTAGAATTAGATTTGCTGGCAAAAGGATATTTGACTGAAAATGTTTGATAGATGTTGCCCTGCATAGAAGTGATTCTCATTTACATTCCTACCAGCAATGTATGAAAATGCCAATTTCCTCATATCCTCACCAACACAGGGTGTTTTCCAACTGTCTTCTGTACTTTGCCAATATCTGAGAGGTGAAATGGCACCTCATAGTTTTAATTTAAATTTCTTCTTATGGGTAAACATCTTTCTATAAATTTATGAGTCATTTGTATTTACCTGTGAACTGTTTTAGCCTTTGCATGATTTCTGTTGAGTTATTGGGAATTTTAAAATTTCATTTAGGAACTCTTCGTAAATGAAGAAAATTGGCTCTTTGAATTATGCATTTCAAATATTTTTGCTCAATTTGTTCAAACTTGTTGCTGTTTTTGTTTCTGTGTAGAAATTTTTTGTTGTCAAATTTATGTATTTTATTTTATGACCTGGGTTTTTGTCATATGGCAAAAAAATTTCCATGTTTACCCACTGCTTTCGTTTTCTATATTTAAGTTCTTTATCTACCTAGTATTTATTTTGGAGTGGGGTTACAGATAAGGATCCAACTTTATTTATTCAGGCATCTATTTGTTCAGGTATCTAACTAGTTCCCTCAGGTTCATTTATTAAATAACCCAACTCTTTCAGGCTAATTTTAAACCCATCTGTATCATATACCACATTTCTTGTGTATTTGTATCTATTTTGGGCTTTCTGATCTGTTATTTTGATCTGAGAGCTTTTCCATATTCTAGTACTTCACTTTTTATTATTGAAGCTCTTTGGTGTGTTTTAATATCTGAATGGGCTAGACACCTCTTTATTACTCTTATTTTTGCTTTCTTCTTTAAAACTTATACTTAACATGTTTATTTTCTCCCTGTGTTCTTTAGAATTAACTTGACCAGGTCCCCAAAATTTCTCTTGATATTTTTATTGGTCTCACATTATACAGATAACT